CGTACGTACGCGAGAGTAGTTCGTTCTCGTACCGATACTCCTCGTCGGTCCTATACTATACACACTCACTATTTATATTTATATATATATACCCTCCCCCCCCTCCATTTCTGATGGAGTTTGGGTCTTGAGGCTTCTGCGACCCTCATTCACTATGATGACCCTAAACACTGGTGGGCCATCGCTGATGCATACTTTATCTGAAACTAAATATTTTCTAAATAAAATAAATAACTACGAAATTTCTGCCTCACTTTCGCCTAGAAGCACCATCTCCTACTTGCACAATTCTTGCCACTCCTTAAAGTCAACTTCAAGGATGGTTATTCTATCTACAGTATCTATAAAATTCGCAATCACACAGTGTTGGCTATAATTCAACACTTACCATCAGCCATCACCGTGATTGCTGATCCAATGCTCGAAACCGAGTTTGGTGCTATCTTTTAAACTATGGCTTAAAGATTTGTTGTGGGAGACAGCCTAGATGTTTGTGTAACATGGCCAAAATCGATCATGCAGTGGTAAAGAAACTGTGATCTTGTCAGGAGAGTTGTGTCCAAAAGGGCAGGAACCCTATACATAAACAAATGATATGCAACATCAATACAGTTGCAACAATATGTTAATAATTGATATGGTACATGTGTCATGCCTGCCACATAAACATTAAATTACATCCACGGCCTGTACGCAGCTAAATACGTATGTTTGTAGTAGATTATAAGGATCCATATAAACCACAGACTACATTAGAATGATTAGGTGTCAATGGTTATACAGCCACTGTTATTTTTACTAGGTAGTCAAATAAACTACTTCACACAATGCTCAATGATGCATTTAGTAATACTGCCCAGGTTTTATTACAATATTCACAGCCAATTTTGCTGTAGACTGGTGGAACAATATTAAATAATAATAAATAAGAACAAATGGATGATCTCTATTATGAACCACTACCATGGTTCATGATTATTTATAACCAATAAAAAACAAGGTTTCAATCTATCAAATGATGTATTACATTGTTTTCTGTACAGATAATTGTCTATTTTTCTTCCAGTTCAAAGTTTATTACCATGGGAAATACATAGACAAGCTTAGCTGATTTTTTAGTGGCTCTTGTCACATAGTTAGAAAGCCAAAAAAATTGTAATAGTTATGGATATTGTTAACACTTTATTTCTTGTTTTTCATATGTATTCTACATTTATTATAATAAAAGTAACTAAAATGTAAAAATTAGAAACTTTTTAGGCTAAATAAGGTAAAACAAATATTAATAACAATAAAACTTTTTCACAAGGTACACTCACGAGTAAACTCACAAGTAGTCCTTGCATTATGTAATTCAATAGAGTAGCATGAGCTCCATGTTTGCCAAGTGATTTACTAGTTAGATTCAGTTCAAAGGGCAATAAAACAATAAAATTTAAGTGTAAATATATGTATACTGTTACAAGTTTAAAGCTATTCAGGATAAACAAATGTAGTTTCATATTATAATTTGGAGTCATTCTAGAAAGAATTTATTTTTTCTTAGTGGTTATGAGGTCAGTCAAATTGACCAACCTTGTATACAGTTAGGGAAAAAAAACAGAGAAAATATAATTTTTTACTGAAAAAAAAAACATTTGAGATTTATTTATGAGGCTTTAGAAATTGTGCAAACTTAAATTTGAGATTTTTCAGATGAAGAAAAATATTTTTAATCTTAACATGAAAATCACTTTGCACTCAGAGCAGTCTACACTTTGACTCCACATATTCATGAAAGTGTTTTTAAAGAAAATACATCATTAAAAATTCTGACTTTTTGTCTACAAATGACTCTTTATGCTTACTGAAAGCATGCAAAATTTTGTGAAGATACACAAAACACATTAGAATTTGGGGTCAATTTTTAGGTCAAATCAACTGAGCCTAGCGAGAGAGTTAAGAGTCTGCAACTGCCTGATGAATAACAATGAGACAAAATTTAGCTTCTATAACAAGGATTTCTTTAGGTCCTAAAGAAAGCTGCAGTATAGAAGCCATTATCTCCTCTTCATTCATCAGGCAGTGGCAGTCTATTAAAATTCTCAAACTGACTATGTATACTCTGTTTAAAGTTCTACTGAAACAAATGTCTAAGCTGTTGAGCCTTGATTTTTTTGCTAGAATGTTTGAATCCTAATAATTCAGACTGTCAATAGGAATGAATAAATAAGTACTAATGAAGTCAATCACACAATAGTATGTCATCTGTAATATGATGACTGAAATAATGGTGCTATATAATGTTATCTTATTCAATCCAAAAACACTGCTTAACTCCTTAGGACAGCTTATCACTACTCCAGGTTAGCTCAGCATTCAAGTCTAACTACAAATGCTAATGTTATCTGTCTATATCATGGCTGAATGGGAAATAATTCTTGGTTTTAAGGATTAATTTTCTCAGTTGCTTGACATTTAATGAAACTGATTTTTAATTTGCAATGTGAAATTAAGTTAACATCTGCTAAGTGCAGAAACCTAGACAACACCACATCCATGTTTACCTTACCAAACTGTCTCTCTTGAGGCTTTACAACTTTGGCAAATCCAAAATCGGTTATCTTGATGTTGAAGTCATCATCCAAGAGAATGTTCTCTGGCTAATATAGGAAAAAAGTCAGAGTTAACTGTAGTAAAAATAAGTAACAGAATTGTTACAAAAAAACACTTCATTATGAATCTAGAATGATTTTTTTAAATGAAACTAGCTTCAAGATACCAATAACACAGACTATAAAAAATTTAATATTAATATGAATAAGTAATGAATTGGTAATTATGCGTGATATTTGTTTGCACACCTAAAGTATCACACACACACACATACATAATAAATACTTCAATAAAATATTAGTGTATCACAAAGTAATTTTTTTACTGGTAACCAAAATTTGATTCAAGAAGAGAAATGGTAATGATTATAAAACAGTATCTTAGATAAAATAATAAAACGAAGATCAATGTTTTTTACTTGCACAAACATTAAAAATATACATTAAAATATACAAGTTAAAAGAAACTTAAAACTCTACATGTTTCGGTGTAAATAATTATACCATCTTTAACATGTAGAATTTTAAGTTTCTTTTAACTTGTATATTTTAATGTATATTTTTAATGCTT